TCAGAACTTTATGCCAACCCTTGATGTCGTTATTTCTTCTGGTAGCCTGCCGGTGGACGCTCCAGTCTGACGAGAAGTCGTTGGCAAAGTGTTCAGCGACATTTACTTGATCTCGTTCAATGGAACCACCGATCGTTAGCAAGATTACATGACATACCTTTTCAAAATGCATACATCGGGGTCAGCAACGATTCGCCCACAGAAACTCTATATCCTTGTGGGGAAGTCAAGTAACTCATAGTCTGCTCAACCAGTAACACAAAAAAACACAGTGCTTGATGTTCTTGTAATTAAGCATACCTTTATTGAATACAACTCTACTGACAATCGAATAGAAAATCGAATAACATAAAGTGAAAAGAATGAAAATAGGCCATTTCCGAATTACCTTTAGCCTCTTTCTCAAAGCGAGTCTTAGTGCCAGTCCTTTCATATGAACGAGAGATAAATTCACATGCAAATTTAACTCATTTTCATATGAATGGTTGTGCACCAAGCCTCGCTTTGATAGAGAGGCTTGAGGGTCTTGAAGCAACAGGAAATGGGCTATTGCACTTGCAGTCCCCAGTTTCCCTGTAGTTCTTCCAGCGATAACTTTATAATGACAACATTTGTATTGCCTTAGCTTTATATGTTGGGCGTTGCCCTGGTCTAGTTATTGCTCTGCAAGGGGAATCACATTCAAAAATGAACGAGGCATCGCAGTACCTTTTAAGGGGTTAAAATTCATGTTCTGGTTTAATTCTAGAATGTTTTAGCTTACTGCTTACTTAAAGTTGGGAGAAGACCAACTGGTTCCTTCTATAAGTTCACAAAACGCTAATCTGGTATCTTTTAGGGGAGTTCTTCTCAAAATTTCCGACGATTACCCCATCCATTTCACATAGCAAACTCATTCCCCCACCCAAATCGAGTGACGTTTTGTTAACGAAAAAATGTTAATTATAAAATTAAACTAAAACTCTAAATATAACTTGGACAATTAGCCTTAGCTCGAGCAAACAAAATTCAAATTCTAAACTTCTTAATGTCTTAATTTTTTTCTTGAGCTTGTTTCTCTTTCTCTTCTGAATTAAAGGAATCTGTGGATTGAATGTTTAAGAGGTCATTCAATGAAAAATTATACAAATGTGTTATTAAGAAATGAAATCAATCTTTTAGTAGTCATTAAGAGTAGCATTGGAAACATAAGCAGAATGGGTGATACGTTGTACGTTGGCCAAATGGTTAGTGCTCTGGAACCTGGATCGAGGGGTCCGGGCTCCAGGCCTGCCGCTGTTACTATTAGGGACCTTACGCAAAACACGACGGCAACGGCAACGACGACGAGAACGTCACCAAACAAAGGGTTTAATAAGCAAATAAATGGCTGTGCAAGTGCATTATAATTCTTGGTACATGTCTTTGCCGTCCTCCGCAAAACAGCAACGTGAAATGACCAAATTCTGCGTTGTCAGGAGAACGTGAACAACAACGGCTAACTTTTCGCATTTCTATTTGGAATTGAACGCATTCGTAGCATATTCAGTAGGGACAAGTTTTGATACCGACAGACACACTAGACAGTTCCAAATAAATGCGAAATTCCAAAATAAAATACATACATTTTTTTTTACCAGGCGTCGTCCTCGCCGTTGCCGTGCGTAAGGTCCCTATTGTGTTTTAATGCGAGACACCTCACAGGCACCATGCCGGTGTAGAAATGGGAAAAAAAGCCAGGATATAACACAAACAGC